AAAAAAAAATGTGAATTTGGGAAAGCCGTAGTCACTTACCTGGGTAAGCAGGTTGGCCATGGACAGGTGCGTCCTGTTGATGCCAAAGTTAAGGCAATTGTGAATTTCCCCATCCCAAAGTCTAAAAGAGAGCTGCGCCGTTTTCTTGGTATGGTAGGATATTACTGTGGATTTTGTAAAAAATTCTCCTCTGTTGTGTCCCCCCTGACAGATTTGTTGAGCATGTCCAAAACTTTCACTTGGAGTCATGAATGTAATAACGCCTTCAATGCTGCCGAAGACGTCCTGTGTAGTGCCCCAGTCCTCTCTGCCCCTGACTTTTCAAGACCCTTCAAACTTGAGGTGGATGCCAGTGCGTTAGGGGCAGGTGCTGTCTTGTTGCAAGAAAGTGAAGCCGGAATCGACCATCCTGTGTGTTACTTTTCAAAAACATTTTCTAAAACACAGCAACGTTACAGCACCATTGAAAAAGAGGCCTTAGCATTACTCTTTGCCCTTCAGCAATTTGAGGTTTATGTCGGTGGTAGTCCCCTACCTATAACGGTTTACACTGACCACAACCCCTTAGTCTTCCTCCTACGCATGGCTAACTCGAATCAAAGGCTAATGCAATGGTCTTTGGTGGTCCAGAGTTTAACATTGACATACGCCACAAGAAGGGTACTGAAAACGTACCCTTGCTGATGCTCTTTCTAGGAACTTGAAAAAAAATGTTGTTTGTTTGTTTTTGTCAAAATTACATTTTGACTTTTATGGGTGGGGGTGTTACATTGAGGTGTATGTTGTGCCTATGCATCTCTCTCTCTCTCTCTCTCTCTCTCTCTCTCTCTGTCGTTCTCACAGATGGCTCCGCCCTAATTGAACGCTCCGGTACGTGCCCCGTGGTTGGCCGAGGCTGGAACTGTGCATCTTTCAAAAACGCAGCGAGGCTGATCTGGATGTGGGATGTTGTTGATGGCGTTGTTGGTTGAATTTGTGATTACCGATAAGAAAAGAAAGAGAATCTCTGTATAGCGACTTTTTGTAAATATTGTGAAATCTATTTTGGTCTTTTTCTTTTCTATTCACCTTACCCACCCAGTGTTGTGTTGTTGTTGTAAAGTTTTCATCAGATTGTTTTTCTTTTAACATGGCTGTGTGTTTTTGCCCGTTATTGTAAATATTGTACATATCACTTCATTTCAGCACGGAAGCTGTAGGGGTTGGGTGCCACTATTTTTTGTAACCTATGCGTTTTTTCCTGTTTTTGGGCTAGTCAGGGAGTTAGTTCAGTCCCTGTATTAATTTGTTTGAACTTTTTCTTTTTAGGGTAGTAAGATTCTTTGGGAAAAAGGTTTTTGTTCATTATTTGGGCCTTGGCCCAACCCTGAAGCCCATTCGCTTCCTATTTTGTGTACTGTTTTATTGCCATTGAACTTGACTAGTTAAAAATGTAAATGAAGAAAGAACGAAAGATCACAACATCCCAGTGTAAAAATCTTTATGTATGTTATTCTTCTAGACCCTAGACCTGGGACGAAACATTTTCCAAACTTTTTTTGTAAGCTGAACTTATTAGACGTAAAATATTTATTGAAATACCCCCTGAAAGGTAATATTTCAATAATTTAATGACATGCACATTTCGCATGTTCTGAAATTGGTTAAAAGTGCTTTATTTTGATTGCTTTTATTTTAAACGTATGAACATAGTGCACAACTTGACCAAAAATATATTGTGATTATTTTGATGTTTTAATTTAGTATGAAAATGTATATATTATATTGCTACTTCTACTGAGACATCCAGACAAAAAGAAGAAAAAGAGCCAACAAGCACAACAAGCTAGGATCACAGGAAAACACATTTAAACTCACAGTGCTTGCAGAGATCTGTTCACGAGAAAGAGCATTTACTGTGAAATGAGCCTATGAAACACAGTATTATTAACTAATAAAATATGAATAAATGATGAGCTTTTCATTAACTTACAAACCTCCTGCAATTCCCCCACAAACCTCCATGGGTTTGCCAAGCCCTGTTTTGGAAACCCTGCTTTAAGCTATAACTTGAACACTAGACATCCTGAACATTACAAATTGTAAATGGTAATGCTAATAACTGGTTGTTTTTTATTATTAAAAATGATCACTTTTTAGTAATTGTAATGTGAGTGGTGATTAATTGGAAGGTGTAAGAGATACCACAGTACATTTCACCTTTGTAATTTGTAAAACAATTCTGTAAGGAGACATGGATTTGTATTAATTTAGAGGCTGTATTTATGTTGACATTTTACAGAACACTATAAAAAGTGAATAAAAGAGTTGAAAGAACCTCTTAAGTTAATCTGAAGCAAGCCCTGGGGCCCCTCCAAAGCTCTGATTGAAAAATTGCATTAATATTAAAGAGTACTACTTACACTTTATATCATAATTGAAAAACTAAACTTCATGGACCAGGTGAATCATTATTCAGAGGACTAAAATCATAATGATTTATACACAGGCACCCAGAACTAAAACAAGACTATTACTCTCCACTATTTACTTGTTTCCTTTTAATTTGTCATTTTAATTCATCTCTTCAATAAAAGCTTTCAATTAGGATGCATTCCAAATGAACGTCTCTCTGCACTCCATCAAATGCTGGCAACTCTGTGATGTGCGATAACTCCTAACCTTTTAATTATGAGTGGCTTCAAGCGGTGACATTCCTGACAACTCCCAGCTGATGAAATGTCTGGAAACATTGCATGGTTATATTACAGGCTACCTCGCCAGCTGATGTGTGTTTCCACAATACACATACCTGGGGAGTGATATTACACTTCTCTTTTCCAGCCTAATAATATCAATCTTTAGTTACAGTCACCTTTGTGCCACTGGTCTCTAAATGAAGACCTTGGCTTTGTTCTGCCGTCACTTTACTGTTGGTACCAATTAGACCGATGTGCTGAAGACAGTTTTTTTTTTTTAACCTTTGAAGATTTAACGATTTCCCCTGTAGACCAATAGATCTGCACTGTGATTTAGAGCTTTTCTCTGTGATGACAGACGGTTATATACTTACCAGAGAATTGACCAGTGTGAGAGTGTATGAGTGTGACTTTATTTATGTGACACACACAGAGTTCAAAATCTGTTTTGTAGCTCTGAGATACACATTGTGTCGACACAGACCTCAATTTACATATAGGATGAGTACATGAAGTGAAGGTGCAAAAGAGGCGTTGTTTTATGTAAGGCAACTGAAGCGCTTTTCTTTTCTCGCATTTCGGCCCAATATAACAGACCTGTAAGTGAGGAAGTCTTTGCATCAGTTCAAAACCCACATTATTTCCCATGGGAGGTCTAAGCACAGACTGTACATCCTCGAAGGCAGTCACAGATGCCATGAAGGCGGTTGTTATTCTCATTTTACCTACTACTAACCTCTAGAGTGGTTATGTGTGAGTCTGGTATTGCAAAAGCAATATTGGAAATAAAAGCAATGATCCGAAGCACTGAATGCCAAGCACAAGCCATTATGAAGCACCTGAATATGTATTACAAATCATAGAATTGTTGAATTACTGTTAGAAAAGTATGTTGATTAAAAAAATCTCGCATTGCCTTATGCTTTGTGAAGTTTTCCTTTCAGGAGTTAAGTTGAATCCTTTCATTTAAAAGAAGTGTGCTTAATTGTATTAAATGTGCACTTGGGAGTGTATACTTCAAATCTGAATTTTAAATGTTTCATGTACTGTACATGCAGATTGATATAATAATATAATATTACTGAAATAAAAGACCACTTAGTTGTACTGAAACGGAGTACTCTTATTTCTTAAGTTAATTCATTTAATAAATACTTCTATTGTTTTTGAAATATGGTTAGTACTGCCAGATGTACTGACAGGCATTTAAGGTTAAATAAAATATACTTTAAATACACAACATTTAATACATATCAATTGGTATGTCATGCATTTAAACATATTTGTAATTACACCAGTGTACGATAAAGTTGCTATTTTTAAGGTGTCCTTGTTACACTGTAACTATATATTTAGAATTATGCATGCGATTATACATAATTTATTGTTATTACTATAACGAAGTACATGAAACAAGTGTAACATGGACACTAAAATAAAGTGAACCAATGTAACATATTTACAATATTAACTTAACTTTGTAATATCAAATAACACACTGCAGTTCAAATGATAGCAATTACTTTACACATGCTTTAGTATGTTAGTCCACACATCAAAAAAAGTGTACTTTTTTAAAACATAACAAAAGATTTATAATACATAATGATTTAAAATATACTTTAAAATAAAACTTTAATTTGGAATTATTACAAAAGTGCACTTTTTAAAAGTTTCCTTAACTGCGTTAAGAAACATGGTCATGAAAGTATACTCTCCCTAAATGGATTTTTATTTAATTAATATTATATTATCTGCAAATACAGTATTTTGAAATAAAAATAAATATCCCATTAATTTTCTTTTATTTCTGTCTTTGCTCTTAAGCATTTGTATGCATTTGAATGTCTAATAAGAACTAGCTGTACATGTTGTTATGAGATACCAGTACCAATGTTGTTGTTTTTTTAAAAATCTAATAATAATAATAATAATAATAAAAATACACCATTTACTTTCCAAATACGCCATCTTATTGTAGAGATGCATCAATTCATCAGTGCACATTTAAATAAATAAATAAATAAAATGTTTGTCTTTACAATTTTTCACTTAAAATGTAATAAGCAGTTTCGGCTCTGTAACAACAGTGCTCTGTGAGTCTTGATTATACAATAAAACAGCAGTTTTGATAAGAAAATGTAATTTTTTTTGTCTGTTGATTATTGTTAACAAACAGCAGTAGTCTTTATAAATAAATTAGCAGCTGTCTAGACAGCTCAGTAGGCTCATTAGACAACTATTGTTTGGACACAGCATTATAATACAAAGTACATTGTCAAAAAAACTAAAAAACAACAACAACACACAACACCAAGTTTATGCATTGTATTTTCTTTAGTACTTACATATAAGGAGGGAAATACAACAGTTGTTTTCTAGGGAGGATACAGGATGTTGTAACAGTGCTCTGTACATTAAGGGTGTGGCAGCACAAGGCTGACAGTACCGTGCTTCAGCAGGTCAGAGAGTACAGCTCAAATCTACACCACAACACAGCATGTGGTCAAGGCAAAGGCCTAGTAGCAGCTCCTCTTGAGAAAGAAAAATGAAAGCGCAGATATCGCAACTGCTGTTTCACATACATACATACATCAGTTTAAAGTAGAAAACAATATGAAACCAAAAATGTCCTGATAGTGATGTTACACTTAGGAAAATAATTTTAGGAAAAAGTGTATGAGCTGCTACCAGAGACTTGCTAGTAGTCATATCGAGTCTTACGTACCCCATCAGAAGACTTTAATAATACAGTGGAAATTATGTTCATTTTGATCGTAGAGTTGAAAAGTTTACATTCAGTTCTGAGCCTCCACAAAGGTCAAGTGTGGGTCAAACTAAACCACTGACCAACACTCCAACTGTCTATCAAAACCTAATACCTCGACATGTTACATCATTTCATCACACGTCATGACTGAGGGTTTACTCATCAGAATCCTTTGAGAAAAGGGTGAAGGGGGTTACAAATCAGAGGACAAAGGTGGAGAGGTGTCAGTAATACGTTCTCTGTGACTTTTATCTGGAGTGCAAAGGACCCCTGATTAAACTAGGGGTGAGTTTAAAAAAAATAATGTTATAATAAAATCTATAAAACAAAGAAACAAAATATAGGTGTTCCTTCCCGGTTACAGGAAAATGATTAATAAGACTATTAAAACAAACTCATGGGTAAATCCTGCATGTTTCAAATACAGCACAGTGGAAAAATAAACATTTAATACAGTGCGTGAATTTAGACGTCCTGAAGAAACTGAGGGGGGCGGACTGTAACCCTGAAACTAACTTGTGATAGGTCAGCAGCAAAACAGATATTTTTTTTTCGTGCCTCACCACAAAAAAAGCTTCCAGACCCATTACCAGCTTACCCCTTTCTAAACTAGTAAATGTTTAACATTTCGGACTTGATCTACTGTGCTACCACATTTTCTTTAACAAAGCTCTAGTGAGCTTCAAAGTTAAAAAGAAATAAACAAACCCCAAAACCTGCAATTTACATTGTGGCAGATGTTACATCTAGTTTTGAGATATTTCTTGGTATATTAACGAAAGTAACCGTGGTGGCTATATCGATATCTGGGGCGGATCTACTTCAACACAATAATCAATTTGCATAGCATTTTATCTTTACCAGAGATCTTAACTCTATTACCACCTGCATGGGAATTCACGGTGAGATCAGTAAAGAGACAGAAAAAGAGAAAGAGAAAGAGAAAAGAGAGCCTCACTGAAATTCAAGTATCTGGCTGCCGAGTCCCTATATGGCATCTGCCTCCCCTATTCCTCAGGCTAACTGAGTAATCAAGAGTTAAGCTTCAGCAGTCGTTATGTACTGAGCATGGTATGTACATAGGAGGGAGGGTCTGGCACATGCATGTAATGCATGGTAACATGATATGTCCTCTATTATCATTTATGTATGATTAGATAATTCTCACAATACAAACATATACAAAGTAAAAAAGAAACAAAAGCGCGCTAATTGTGCCTCCAAGTCTCCATTCATGCAGAGGAATGTTGGAGAAGATATCTAACTCCACAATGTACAAGCTCCTGCCTTTCCCGTGCTGACACGTGTTTAATTGAGATACAGACTTCTGTAGAGTTGCCCCTGCTTTGGCCCTTACCAATGTGGATAAATGTGGTGTCAGCACAGAGCGAGGTTGTGACGATTGAGATCCTTTTAATAAGGCATTAGACTTAACCAAGACAGTGAGAGAAGCAGAGGTGGCATCCAGATTGAGAATGAGTATGAAATACCAAAGACAGAAGAAGAACTAATTCAGCAACCAAGGCATGTGTTGAACCAAGATAACACTGAAAAGAGGGGCAGGGGGATAAAACCATTCAACATTTCCAACACTGACAGAAAGAATCCATGGCACGTTCTCACGAATGTCCCTGACAGTGTCTGTGTCAGGTTTATCAACAATGGCATGAAAATGATCCATCTTAAACACAAATCTGGGACAAAAGTAGAATCTGCACTTCAAAGGCCTCTTTGTTGGAGAAGGATCTGTTGAATTAAAAAAAGAGAAGAAGAAGAAAAAGAAGAATGGACACAGTGCCAAGACTCCAGGCATTCCTCTGAGAAAGATCCTATCCACAGTAGGGTGACCCACACATGATTGAGTACTTCAGGAATCCATTTTGATATCAGTGTTCACAACTGAAATTCTATGTTTCCCTTAAAGAGTGTACACTCACCCTTCTACTGAGCAGCAATCATACACACCGCTAAAGCCATTTTTGCTAGAATCCCTTAGACTCGTCTTTGGCTTCCCTGGCAGCGTCATGAATATTTTTTAGTTCGTACAAGTGTCAATGTGTAAGGGAAATAGCACTGTGCAGAAAACCCCAACAAAACTGGACATTGGGCCTTGGTTGTTTTTCTTGTGAAAGGTACCTCCTCTAGAGTGAAAATTAAGAGAGAAAAATAGAAAGGAACGTCTTTAGAAAGCACATAGCCCGGTCAGGCTATTTCCTTTATCCTGCGCATGTAGTCGTGCAGTTCCTCTGGGTCCTGAAAGCCCATGTCTTGGCATACCCACTGAATGTCCTCTTCGTTGGCAACGGGGATGGAGTTGTAGGGTAAATCCTCCGTGGGAAGAGTGAAGGTGGTAAACTTGACACGCTTGCGTTTGGAGGTCGGTGAGCTGGCTTCCTCTCCGTGGTCTTTGGTGGAACCTCCGGAGCTGCCGTCTCCTCGACCGTGGACTTGGCTTTGTACGCTAGTCTGGGAGCTGCCGCTGCTGTGGTGGTCCCCATGACAACAAGACTGTACCCCCTCCAAGGTGTTGCTGGGGCTCTCCACCGTCTGAGGCGAGAGATCGCTCTGGGTGCGCAGGGGTTCTCCGTTACCCAAGAACACCCAGTGGTGGGAATGGTCCATGTTGGCTTGGCCTTCAGGAGGGATGCGCTTATGGCGATACTTCAACACAAACACAATACAGTTTATAAGAAAGACCAGTATGGCGAGACAAAACACCCCGAGGAGAGCATACATGCCGATCTCCAGGTCGGTCATGCTACGGGGACTGTGCACGAATTCGTCATCCTCCTCGTCTTCTTCGGTTGGTTCCTCTGGATTGCTTACTGTAGGAAAGTTGGTGTAATCGATGGGCACACTTGCGGGCTGCTCATTAGATGGTTCATACCCTCCACCACCTGCGTTGGAATCGATAATGGGCCTTCTCGTGTTGGCAGGCATTCTAGTGTCTATTTCAGTCTCTGTATCCACTTCCTCTTCAGAGTCTTCATCCGGTCCAAAGCGGACTTTGACGAACACAGGAGAAGAAGCAATGACACTCTTGCGTTTAGTCTTCTGGCAGGTTTCGCTGATGGTCATCTCCACGTGCACTACCTCTCCTGTGCCCTCGCCTTCGGCCATGATGACTGGCCACCGCTGTTGAGGTTGTTGAGCCACTGTAACCACCTTATCGTCTGCTGTGGTGGCATTGAGGTTGTAGTCTTTTGGGTCATACATACTCAGGGGGGCGGCGGTATTGTCGCTGTAGTAAATCCAGATGGACAGACTGGCCTCCTACAAACACAAAACGAAAGAAATTGTGAGCATGAATTCAACCCTTACAGACCCTGTAACAGTTAATTTTTTAACCTGGCTTTAAATTCTTTGGTGCCTGTGATGCATTCTAAATGGGGTTGCGCACGGAACAAGAACGTTTTTTGAGTTAACACCATTGATTATTGTGTTGTGTTGACAAACTGCTTTGGTGAACCGTTTCATCCAGTTAACTAAAAAAGAACCAGTTCGCAAACCGGACATCACTCCAGACTGTTTGCCTGTGGCTATAGATTACAGATAATAATGTTGTAAATAATGTTCAGTTTCTTGCACAGACTGATCGTTTCACTTCATAAGACCTCAATATATCGTCAAGAGCCAGGGGTATTCATTTTGTGTTCTTTGGTATGCTTTTTTTATTATGAAAAATGGGTAGCCACTAGGGGTGGGAATCTTTCGGCACCTCACGATTCGATTCACGATTCTTAGGGTCATGATTAGATTAAAAACTGTTTAATTATTTTTCGATTTTTAATCATGATTCACGATTTTTCATCACATTTTTTGTGTACACTGGACATCAAATGCACCAGTATTTTGATACAAAACACACCAGTCTATAGTATGGGTAGTCCTGACTTGAGAAATCAGTGTTTCCTGTTAACTATTAACCTCCTAATAAATCAAAAATATTTGGGATGTGCCCGAATCCGAATACCATGTTCAGAAAGGAAATGACTTTGGCAGTACTTACCACATATTTTACAAGATTAGATGTTTGTCAGTGGTGCTCAAGATCTGCAAATCATTCGCCTTGTCCTATCAGTCATCTCTTCTTACTCTGTTTATGTGGTAAGTTAAATTTTATGTACTGTAATGTTTTTTTTTGTTCCGACAACATCAAGTTATTATTATTATTATTATTATTATTATTATTATTAAATTAACTAGAAAAATAGATTTTGGAAATTTGTGAATCGATGCGAATCGGTAGAAGACTGAATCGTGATTCATGTGTGAATTGATTTTTCCCCCACCCCTAGAAGCCACTGACTTGCATTCTTTTTAATCACCAAGCACCACGGTTTCAGCTAAAAATCTTTACTGTTCTACTGAAGAGAAAAAGTCACTTGCTGCACATCACGGATGGCCTGAGTGGCAGTAAATTAACTGCAAATTTTCAGTTTTGGGTGAACTACCCCTTCAACTTTACACTCTCTTTAATAAAAAACATGAGTAGCACTCACTGATGCGAAAGAATTTTGAGTAGCCTCTAAAGTCGTAGCTCGGTGGTATACTGTATGTACAGTACATTCAAACAAAACAATGATTTTGAATTTTATGGTGTACATTGTCAACTTGCTGCTCCAGGTAGATGTCTGTGCAGGACAATTTTTTTAGTCCCGTTCCCGCCTGCTTCCGCAAGGTTATATTCCGCACCCACCCGCTCCTGCTATATATTCACTCTTTGTTCATCCGCTGTCTGCTTAGAATAATTTTCTTCCCGACCCGACCGTTCCCGCTAAATTTAGATCTCGTA